TTATATTATTTAAATCACCTGTTTTGAAAATATTTCACGGTGACCTACAGCGATATATTTCAACCATCATGGCAGGTAAAAGCATACTATTCGTTTGTCGGTAACCGCTTCCGGAAGAGTAGTGATAATATGGCCTCTTTCGTTCCGAAGATGGTCAAGTTTATGGAAAGTTGTAGTTACTTACATGCTCATAATCCTTTTTATTCATATTTTGTAGGAAATGGGGAGATACAGTGGTGTTTTTCCCAGGTAAAAGGAACATCGGATGATGACGTAACCGAAGGTAAGTTTCTTGATAAATTATTATTATAGTCATAAAAATGATTGAGTGTGTGTGGCTCGTAAGTATAGTACTAGTAGTGCTATATTATATATCTTATAAGTATATTAATGTTACTTGTTAGTAGTATAATAGTATTCTAGACTACTAGTACTAATAATACTGACACTCCGTACTTCTACTTGTAGCATTAGAAAAACTCTCACTTTCAGACATTTCATCTGCCAAAAAGTGTCATAAGTTTAAAATTTAAATATACAGCGGATTAGGGCAGTGGTTGATTGTCATGTTAGAAAAAAACTTAACTTTAGTTTTAGGATAATCATAATCCAGTCCTTTTCACAAGTAATAGTAATTTACATCAAGTTTGGAAGTTTTGTACAAAATGGTCTTAATGTAACTTGCAAGTTACAAATGTACATAATATTTTAGGATGTAGTGTTTCATTTGGTAAGCTACTTGTATAGAACTTAGAAACAACTATTGTAACTTATATGGTATCTGAATGTATAAAAAGTTTTTGTTAAGAAGAAATACGCAAAATTTATAATAAAATATTATTGTCTTTGCATAAGGCAAGCAATGATTTGTTTGTAATTCTACAAAATAGTTGTTAATTTAAGTTTGGAGCTTAGCTTAGTGTGTGAAAGTGAAAAAGTTACTATAAAAACTGATTTATAAGGAGGTTTTCCTAGGCAAGGACATTGTGACAGCTATAGGTCTAAAAGGCTAATATTTTCTATATAACTGGTTTAAAAGCCACAATGGTGTGATAGGAAGGTTGTGATAAACATATCCAGTGAAACAATATTTATCTAAAAGTTTACTTGCTTTATTATTTTAGACTTTCTTGTGTGTGTTTTTGATTTTTCTCTAAAGAACTAGATCAGAGTTTCTCAAACAATGGGTTGTGGCCCCCTTGGGGTTGCAAGCAGGTTTCCAGGGGAGTTACGGGCTGTGGGCACCGAGTCAAAATTTCTTTTCTTTTTTTTGAGTCCGAGAAGTGCACGTGTCACTTTTGTTATGAATTATGATGAGGTGCATCAAAACATCAAGAATTTTTTCCTCCCATTTAGAGATAATGGGAAGGAAGGGGTTGCAATGACCAAAGCCTGGACCTGGTGACCATCTGGCAAATCTAGCTGAGAAACACTGAAATAGATCAGTGATTAAGGAAAGCATATAAATGTTTTTCGAACAGTCCTAATTGAATGTATTCAAGTATGTTATAACTTTATAAAAGTTTTTTTTATGTTTTGTGACAAGAGTGCTGCAACAAAAAATTTACTACTGAAAAATGAAATTTTTTTTTTGTAGTAAAGAGTTCTTTTATGCCTGTGGTATTTTTGATGTTTTTATAAATGCTAGTTTTGTTAAAACAGGGTTTGATAATTTTAAGGTGACCACCCAGTATTCCAAAGGCCCGATAGTCCCAAATTTTTGGTTTTCACAATATAGTTCAAAACTGAATGAATAAACAAATTCTTAGGTCCATAATAGATGAATGCAATCTCAAATGAAAAGTTTAAAGGGTACATCTTGGTGGAGATTTGGGGGTCCAGCCTACTGTGGAGGCTAGCTCTAGAAATATTTAACTTGACAATGTAGTGTACAGCTCAATACATTGGCTTGGTGTCAAGATAATTTTACTGACTGGAACTTTCAATATGTTTAATGAGTCGGGGATATAACTTTTGTTGTCACAGCACTATGGAATAAATATATTGAATGTCCATTCTCTCGAAAGAGCTAGAATCCCAAATCCAATCCTGAGGTGTTTTTTGTCATAAAATTTCACAAATCTAACCACACAATCAATTTAACATTTTAAATGTTAAAAAAAAAAACCTCGTCAAACCGTCGGGGGTTTTGGAATAGTGCGCCCTCAGACTAATGGACTGCACCAATTTTTATTATATAAGTTAAATTTGTCATTTGGTAGGCCAAAAAAAAAGTTCATGGATGCTTCTGATCTTTACTAGTTTTAATTATTCCAGCAGTTGAGTAATCAAAATTAGGTTTTCTGATGGTTGCTATTGTTGATTATTCCAACTATACAAGTAATTGAAACACTATTATATTTGTTTGTTATTAAGCACAGAGCTACGTAATATGCCTATCTGTTCTCTCCCTACTTTTAGCTTTGGTGATTTGGGGTTCTTGGGTTCAGATCACACTGCCACCAAACTTGCTTATCCTTACGGGAAAACTTGCAAAGACTATCTGCCATTGTCATTAATTTTGAACTGCTGACCAAAGGAAAGGCAACTAGATGTCAGAAGCTTTTGCAAAGTTGTTTTTTTTTTCTTGCCTGTGTATACCGTGGTTTGAGGAACACTGCAGTAATGAAGTGTAATTAATTGATTAATGGGACTGTTGGCTAATCAGTTAGCAAATACCACTAACTGCCCAGCTCTACTGCATATGTCATTAATAATAACAATTCTCTCACTATCTCAATAATTATTATCATTAATTATAGTAAAATATCAAGTGATTCATAACATATTTTGTACATTACTGTTAAAGAATTTTAATTTCACTTTTCAAGCTACATTTTTACCAAATAAATATTACTTGGTTTAGAATGCCACAATTTTGAAAATTCAGAGCCACTTGGTGATATTTGATGATTTCGCGAACCACAATAATTCTGCACGTAGTGTTTACATGTAGTAAATATATAGACCTCTGACGTATCATGTTTGAAGGATATTGTCTATTCACGTAACAACAGCTTGTATCACTTCACCAGAAGCCATATTGAAACGCAAAAGATTAGCGTAGAAAAGGAAACTAATGAAGTTATATTTTGACTTTTTTTTAAGTACAAGCTACAACACGAACAGTTTTAAGCATTATACTTTTTCTGCTAATAAAAACGATAACAAAGTTCATAAGTTTTAAAATGGTTGAATAAAATTTTGTTTATTAATTTAGATATTTAAGTATTTAATATAAGTTTTAGTCTGTATACTTTGTATCATTCAAGCGTAATTTTGGGATATTTTGACCTTTATTTTGCGCATCATATCACAAACCTTGTCGATGGTCTACTAAAATCAAGGCTAGTAGTCTTGTATTAAAGTGGAGCCCCCCCCCCCCCAGTGGCACAGCGATATGTCTTCGGACTTACAACGCTAGAAACCGGGTTTCGATACCCGTGGTTGGCAGAGCACAGATGGCCAATTGTGTAGCTTTGTGCTTAATTACAAACAAACGATTAAAGTGGAATACTCTTCAGAAGGTGAGTAAAAGAGAATCGAAATTTGTAATGCTGACAAGATTGTGTGAGATCAGTACATATAGCATAAGCTGAGTGATCGATCATGTACGTTACATTTTGCTTTATTTTGTTTTGCATAAAAATAAATTGAGGGGATGAATGGCATTTTGCCTTATCATGGTTTTAATATTAGAAATTTCAGTTATCCTCTAATTGTTCCAGTGATTTTGTCCTCCGTTGTTGTGTTTCGTTATGTCTGATTAAATATGTATTTTTATTACCATTTTGAAGTTGTTTTTAAACTTTTTATGGGGGAGGAGTATTTTAATTTATTAAATGTACACGTTCTTTTTCATTACTTTTTAATAACATTCAAAGAATTTATGGTACCCAATTTCCACTGACAACATTCACACAGTTGTCTTCTGACGACATCATAGGAGATACATTTATTTCATCCATGCCAACGAATGCCCCTCAATTTATTTGTAACTTACATCATTGTTCATCAATAGTAATTTAGACATAGTGTGTTTAATGTGTGTCGCTTTTCGTATATATTACATGAGTTACAAATAATTACTACAAAGTCATTCTAATAACATTTATTGTTTGAAATACATTTTAAATGTTCAACCTCATTAACTAGCATTATCCTACTCTGGTTAGATAGATTTAAATAGGATGAATTACCTAACTCGAAAGTCACCCTTAGCATCGTAATCATGTTTGAGTCAAATAGACCTAACTTTCGTATGTTACAGTTGCATAGCATTTGCTGTAAATGTGGACTGCGCGACAGAAATAGAAAACACAAGTATTTGATTGTGAGATACATATACATACTTAAATATATTTGACATCATAAAGACCTTCAAATAAATATATTTAATTGTTCTCGAGAATTTATAAGGATCTGTTTTCTTGTGGCACAATCTGAACATAGGAAGGTTGATTAGTTAATATTAAAACCATTTTGGAGCCTCCATGTCACTACATCCGGCCATGCTCTCTCGGACTACCGTGCATCGCAGTTCCATTGTAAAAGGCTCCGATGTAAGGCTGTTATGTTCAAAGCACACCACACCTTCCTGCAGCTTTCCGTAATCCACACAAAACATGTTCGCCCTTTCAGCCGTCTGATATTATAATATGATGGTTAATCCCACTATTCGTTGGTAAAAGAGTGGTGATGACTAGCTGCCTACCCTCTAGTCTTTTACTGTTAAATTAGGGACGGCTAGCGCAGATAGCCCTCGTGTAGCTTTGCGCGAAAATCAAAACAAACCAAACGTAATCCATCTTGTATACAGGGACGACAGTTTCCCAGCGCCCATTTCAACAGTCCGGTTACACAAAAATTCATAGAAGATGTGCCTGGCCCCTTTACCAGTTCGTCTTCATATGGAAGAGTATGGATACCTTTTTATTTCTCCAGCTGCTTGAGGTATGTGATGGTTGAACTGATATATCGTGGAAGCACCTTGTGTATACTTGACTTGTGTCACTTTTCCAGATGGAGATCCTTCTAGATTGTGTTTCATGCTATTGCCTATGACACGTGGACTACTTTTTCCACTGAACTTTGTGTATGTAGATTCTCACCGGTTATAAGGTTCTACACTTTGGTTACCGTTTCTTGGATACTAATATTTACAAGTCTCTTTCTCGGTGGTCGTGGGCATATTCACTTGTTTTCTAGTGCCAGTGATTTGGAAATTTTAGATTCCCGATATGAGCACATTTTTATGAACATTTTGAATAAAAAATGGTCACATACACTTCCCAAAAGCGATCAGTTTTCGGTGGCATCAGAATCTACGTAATGTCAAAATGTAGTTCTAATATATTCCGTTCCACCACGACTTTATATATGTTGTGGTTGTTGTGTGACTTGCTGATTTACTTATTCAAAGACGTTTTAATACAACGAACTCAACTCTGTATTTTCTGACCTCCGGTTATATATACTTAACCCATGTTCTTCTTAATCAATATTATTATGTGTGAAGATAGAATTAGTGAGTGAGAGAGAGAATAGCTCTTTAGCAAGTATTTATATATTTAACAGTGTATATATCTTCGCGATTGTAATATCAGGACTTTCGGCGTTACATGCGAATTCATGAAATATTTATCAGAATGTAACTTAACATTATCTCATGTTACAACCATGTTGACACATGAAGTTTCATATAAGACTAAATTAAACTTTTTACTTTTTCATACTTGGCAAATTGGTAAAAGCACAGTTTCTATGCACTGTTGACTAAATATTGTCTGTGATATGACTGATGGGGATGAGGGAAACTTTTCTCACGACGACACTTACGTTTCATGAATGGCTATGGCAACAATAATTACAAATAATGTATATGTCATTTATCTAATAGTGATGGAATGACGCCACAGTAAATATTTGAAATGTACTTATGGTTAATTTTAAATTTATGGAAAACAATTCACAGTTATACACCTCAAAACTCATGCAAATCTTGTCTAAAAAATTTCAAACATTGAAAGTTCTATAAATGTGAATTATCTTGGATTATGCAGAAGACGTTTGGAAAACGAAATATAATCCTCTTTCTGATCTTCCTATAGGAAACAAATTCTCCCTCTAACAATTTATTTACTAATAAATTTATCTAAAATCTTAAAGCCAATTTTCGACACTGTTTATCTTGTCAATCATCTGTAATATTTGCATTAAATACTCTCACTTAGTATTTATCGTCGTAAAACATGTCACAATCCTTAATAAAAATAAATGCAGTGTAATTTTGATTAAATACATTTTAATGACTTGTAAATAAAATTACCGAGTAAATAATCATGATTCTTTCATAATCACATTGCAACACTGTTACCTTTAGTAAAGATACATTACAAAAAAAATCATTTGCCCATTTTTTAAACGACATACGATTAAAAGATTTCCTCATAAACATCTTTGATTTATCTGGAACCGAACTGATAAATTACTTAATTTTAATTCACTCAATCTGGCTTTATTATAATGTACTCTATATCTATATACGATGTTGCGTCATCATTACGTCATTAAGGAATATAGAAAAT